CCTTGCTGCAGGTACACCGAAGACGAAGCTGGAGCAACAGCGTCACAGGTAAGCTCCCAGGTAAGTCCCCTGGCCTCCACCACTCTCCTCCCTCTTAGCGCTATCCTACGATCCTACCAGTGCCCAGCGCTGGAAGACTACTCGTATCGTCACCTACTACCATTGCAGCATCTCTGGAGAGTGCCGCTGCTGAATGCCTGAAGACTGAATGCCAGCATCCTAGGCAGACCAGCTATACATAGTGCTGGTCCGGCTGGGAGGCTGCCCTCACCAATGCCGAGCGGCGCCAGGGCCTGGCGCCCAAACGGTCCGGCGCCTAAAATTGGCGCCCAAATTCGAAAACGGCCGAATTTGAAAATGGCCTACCGCGGCCTGGGCCCTACTGGCTTCTACTGAAGAAGGCCTACCGCGGCCTGGGCGCCCACTGGGCCTCTACTGGGGTCTGGCACGGAAACAGGCGCCAGGGCCTACCTACTGGGCCTAACGAGGCCAAACGGCACGGCGCCCGAAAAGGGCCCCTTCCTATTCTGAACTGACACAGGCCCGAAAGGCCCCTACCGAACGCCTATCCTACCTGGTCGAGCCCTGCACGGCCCCGTGTGGTACTCGGTATGCCACAAAGGTGCTGTTTTGCTGTTACAGCACCCTGTACTCCTCTGTTCCTGCACCCTTCTGTTAACTTAATACCAAAAATAGCAGGAGGAACAGAGGGGTGCAGGGTGTTGGTCGTGCTTTGACAGAAATGAAACGAGTCACAGCACACCTTGTAGTCTTGTACCCTCTATACACCCGGCACCTGCTTTTTTTTTTTTTTTTTTTTTTTTTTTTTTTCCCCTCTGAGTCTCGGACCATTCGGGACCGGACCAGAAGGGCTGGATCATGTCCAGAGGTCCGGACCGGTCCAAACATGCGTCCAGTTCCATGTGCAACGAATATGAGCGAGAACGATAGACAGAAATCCAAGTTGCAAAATCACGAAGAAGCTCAGATAGTCATGAACCAAGCAGAGAGTTCAATTGACAAAAATACCGTCCAAATAAGAGCAATACAATGAACTCAAACATCAATGTAGCCGCTCTCTGGTCACACCAACACTGTATCCAATGTCGCACTTACTGTCTGGCGCCCAGCACCCAGCCTATCCTACTCAGCCTATCTAGTCTATCGACGTTCTTGCAACTGGATCACTCTGAAGTCAAAGACAAATGCAGGTGACGTCAACACCAATGCCGACCACCAGCATACACCAGGTAAGTTCTCTCTCCTTCACTCATCACCCCTCGTCTTCCCACGGTGTGCGCCTCCTACCCGAAGACCACCTTTGCCATCACCTGCCTTGTGCCCCTGCAGCCCGCTGCCCTTCCAGCGCCCATCACCTCACCTGCCTTGTGCTATGTCTGCTGTGCGCCCGCTGCCCTTGCAGCGCCCATCACATCTGCGCCCGTGCGCACGTCCGACCAGCAGGCCCATGCAGATGCTAGCGCAGCAACGCAGCAGTGTGTCCGCATTGCCTGCCAAGGCCAGAATGCCACTGCCAAGGCCTCACACTTTCCTTTATGGAAAGTGTGTCGCTGCTGGCTGTCCTTCCCAGGCGTGTGGGGGGGCCGAGTAGCTTCAGTTGGGCCCCAAGTGTCTGCCACCCAGCCTCCAAGTGTTTGCAGCATTTTCATTGGCTCGAGGCACATGTGTGATGACAATGCTGCTTCCTCATTGGCCCGTAACCAGTCCGTGACGTGTCGGCCTCACACAGTGTGTGCCTAGGGCGAAACCGCCTGAGCCCTGGGCTCAACTGTACATCGCAGCCCTTTGCTTTTGGAAAGAGCCTGGAGGCTCACGTTGTTCCGTAACCAACTGGCGTGCTGCAACTGTCTGAGTACCCACATATGGAAAAATTGTCGAGCACAGGCCTCACGTGGATATTCAGGCCCGCCTTCACTTAGGGTGGGGCCCGAGGCTTGCTACCAGTAGGGGCCACAGCCCAGAACACTTGTATGTCTGATAAGGGCTCTGCGAGGCTCATTCCTCACATTCCATACCCTTAACTTTGAAAGTCCGCTTAGATGCTTCTACGCAGGTGCCTTCCCCTTCAGTCTTCGTTCGTACTCAGCCACGATCTGAGGTGCTGTCTTGACAAGCTCCTGTCTTGTGAACCAACGATATTCTTTTTGATCTGTATGATGCCTGAACCTGACCTGGTACTCCCTCATAGGTTTGGGCGGTCTTCCTCTGCCAGCAGGCTTGGGAACAGGCAAGTCTCGATGTTCCAAGATGTCGTCAGCGTCCATGTTCCAAGATGTCGTCAACGTCCACGTGGCCATCCATGGTTGGGGGCAGCGTAGACCTTCTTGATGGGAACTGCTCCGTCTCAGCGAAAGGTGCAAGCTTGGAAGTGTGAAATACAGGGTAAGTGCGCAGATGACCAGGTATCCTTATAATGTACGCAGGACCATCCAGATCACTACCCACGATATCTAGGATTTCCCAAGGACCGAAGTACTGTGACTTTTTTTTTTTTTTTTTTTGAGAAAAGGCTCCCACCAGTGTTAGTGGTGCTGATACGAGCAGACACCAATGCCCTTTTTTTTTTTTTTGACAAAATTCCCCCACCAGTGTTAGTGGTGCTGATACAAGCAGACACCAATGCCAAATTCTTGTCCCGGTTCGCTAGCCTTTACCCAGACCCGTTCCCCTACCTGAAATGTGGACTGTCGTCTGTGTTTATTCTCCGAGGCAATCATCGCCTCCTGAGACTTTCTGATGTGCTCGACAGCCTGCTGCAACAACTTCTCATACTAGACACCAAACTCTATGGTTCCAGGCGTTGGAGCTGGTCGGTTTTCAGGAAGGAGGAAATCTAGTGCAGACATAGGCTTCCATCCTAAACGCAGCTCATTCGGACCGACGCCCATGGTGCTGTGGACTGCGTTGTTGTACAGGGTGGCGATGAGAGGTAACTTCTCATCCCAGTCATCCTGGCTGGGCTTAATGCACTGCCTCTGCAGGTGCTGCCCCATGTGGTTCATCTGTTCTGCTTCACCGCTGGCTTCAGGATGGTTACCGGAAGTCATCTGAAGTTGGCTGCCCATCTGTTCTGCAGCCTTCTTCCATCTTTCGCTCGTGAAAAATGGGCATCTCTGTCACTAACGATAGTCTTTGGCAGTCCAAAATCATCCATGAATAATTTGATAACGTGTTCAGTCTTTTCTGTCTTGGGCATGGCGATTACTCTAGCATACTTAGTGAACCGGTCTACCATGACAAAGATGTGCCTCTTGCCACTCTTGCTGGTCACGACGGTATCCATGAAATCCATGGAAACACTGTGTCCCAAACCTGCAGGGATGGGAAAGGGCTTGAGTAACCCAAGTCGCGCTCGAGCTCGCGGTTTGTCCCGCTGACAGACCTGATAAGTCTGGACGTACTTCTTCGCATCGTCAAGCATACCAGGCCACCAGAAATGTTGTACTAAGTTAGCACTAGTCTTCTTGTAACCGAAGTAACCTGTCACATCATGACACTCACCTAGAAACAAACTACGCAAAATTTCACTAGATGGAACAACTAATCTTTTGAATCCTGCCTTTTCAAGAAAGAGTAACCCATCTACCAACACAAACTCATTTGATGTGGCCTTGTCCTCGGCCTCAAGTTTGCGCATGATACCAATCGTGACGGGGTCTTCCTTGTAGGCTTCCACCATTGACTGAGTTACATCGTCAGTTATTAGCGCACCTAGGTAGTCTGCCCTATGTGACAACACATCAACAACCTTTTTATACTCTCTCTTGAGATAGTCTAGCTTGAAGTCACACTGATCAATGATTTCAATCCAACGTTTGAGTGCGTCGGAGAGGACAGGTTCTGTCTTGATCCACTTGAGTGTTTGATGGTCAGTTCTCAAGTAGAAGAACCTTCCTAACATATAGTGTCTCCAGTGGACAACGAAAGGCCTCTCCGTATCGGGGACCATGAGAATCTCAAGATGAGTGAGGGCGTACTTCAACCTCTTGAAAGCAGCCTCACATGCATCTCTCCACTCCCATGGCGTGTCAAGGCATGTTAGATCAGTCAAAGGGGAGGCAATCGTACTATAGTTCTTCACGAAGTTGCGATGGTAGCCACAAATCCCTAAGAATGATCTGACCGCGGTTACAGGCTGAGGTCGTGGCCAGTCACGAATGCTAGCCACCTTGGCATCTTGGGGCCTTATCCCTTCCGCGGATATCTCATAACCCAAGTACAAGATTTTAGTGCGACTGAACTCGCACTTCTCTAAGTTGATCTTATACTTGTGTTGTCGCAGGAGTGAAAGAGTACTTTTTTTAAATGTTGGGCATACTCCTCGACTGTTCTACTGAAGATAAGAATATTGTCGAGGTACGCGACGATGAACTTATCCAAGTAGTTATGGAATATCTTATTCATGGTGTGCTGGAATGTGCCCGGCGCATTGCAACGTCCAAATCGCATCACCACAAACTCGTACAGACCGTACCTGGTCTGAAATGTGGTTTTGTGTTGGTCCTGTGGTCTAATCGCAATTTGATGGTAACCGAACTTTAAATCTATCTCTGTGAAGTATTTACATCCCTGCACCCTATCCAAAAGGTCGTGATGTGTGGTAGAGGCTTTGCGTTTCTTAACGGTCATGACATCGAGGCCTCTCTAATCAATGCACATCCTCATTGTTCGAGGCTTTGCGTTTCTTAACGGTGATGACATTGAGGCCCCTCTATTGAATGCACATCCTCTTTGTACCCCCCTTCTTCGGGACAAATAAAACTGGTGAGCCGAAGGGAGAGGTGCTAGGCCGAATCCAACCTTTTTCTGTAAGCTCTTTCAATTGCTGACGAATCTCATCCAACTCGGCCCGAGCCATCCTATAGATTCTCTTTTCTGGTGTCTTGCTACCTGGGATGATTTCTATGGCATGGAAAACCTCCCTGTCTACGACTCCTGAAGGCTCCTCGAACAGATCAGGGTACAACGACAACTTCTATCTCTGGGGGTGATTTAATGGCCTCCCCTTTCTCAGAGACAAAGACAAAGTACATACCCTTGTCTTCGTTTTGTTTCTAGTAATTATAGAATGTCGATGCTCACATGCTTAAGCACCTTTCGGTCCCACTCGAACTGGGGCTTTGCAACCTCGAGGTACTGCATACCTAACAACATGTCAAACGGTAATTTGTCGCTAACTAGGAACAAAATCTTATGATTTAGTTCCCCACCTCCATAGTAGAAGGTGCAGACTATGTCCTTGACGTAGTCATTCACAACCATGCGCTCTTTGTTGGCTAGAGTAGATGTTACAGATCTACCCAAGCGCCACACCCGATCCCCTAGGCGCAACCTCTCAATGCAGTCGCGACTTAAGTTTCCCGTGAAGCCAATGCCTATGAAGGCACCACACTTGCGACCACCTACACCGACTTCCACAACGAAATGTTCCCCTCTAAGACCTCTGGAGAGTGTCACCCAAGACTCACGAGGGTCCCTTGCCGACCACTCCGTTTCCAAGTCTTGGAAGGTTTCATACACATCCAACGAACAGAGTGTCGTTTGGTCAGAATGTGCCAGCGGGGTGACAAGTGAGTCAATAGATTCGGCCAACTCCTGAAGTGGTGAGGGTACATCAACCACTTCAGCATGAGTAAAAGCAGCTATAACTTCTACTGGTCGGATGTGTTTCCCTAGTTGGTGCTCGTAGAAGCACCGGTTCGGGCGAAAGATCCCCCCAAACCACCTTTGGGAGGAATCTTTTGGGAGACCTTGGTGTTCTTGCACTTAATTGTTGATGACCATACTCACCGCAGTTTATGCATGCTCCACGCGAATACCGGTCCCTCCACACAGCCTGATCCTGACTCGCCCTCACCCAAGCCGGAATCTTGTTTGAGTTTGGGCCTGCCCTTAACTCTTTTGCTGACTGCCCTTGCCGCAGTCAACTGCCTTTCCTTTGGTTATGGCGGCGAGGTTGCCACCCTCTGCACTTTCCTCGCCACCTATCTTTGTCTCCTCCACAACACCAGAAAGAGATCTCGGTTTGATTCCCATCTGAATCAACCATCATCAACCAACTACCCTTCTTCCATTCTTGTGGGGGCTTCTTCTTCCTCCCGTCCGTAGCAGGTTGTTGTGCTCCTCCTAGCTTAGCCTCTAAATCTAGGGCCTTCTTGTTGAAGGAGTCAAGATTGTGATAATCAATGCTTACCTCGTTGACCATCAAGTTCTTGATGTCTGTGGGAAGACATCTCAGATACATGGTCAGTAAGACTTGTGGATCATAGCGGACCCCCGGGACGACTATGAGTTTCTCCACGACACTGGTGAGCTCACACACAAACTTGTACCTTCTAGTATCAAGCCGGGAGTTGTGCCTGCTGTGTGTTTTGCCATCGCGTTTCAACCAATGCCATCAATCTCTCTAATTTGTGGGTCTTTGCCCAATCATTCATTCGCCAACCGAATCCCTCGGAAGCCACTGTTCCATCTAGCCATCACGACGTCGATCCCTCAAGATATCAACATTGATCACCTCTTCTTCTAGCAACGTCCTCTTCGCCCTTACCCACACGGGAACCGTCCTCAACCAAGTGTCGAGTGCCTCATCCTTCTTGTCTCCCGAGAAGGTAGAGGGTGGTTTCAGTGGAGTCTTCGGGTACCAAGGCTGTTGTAGTCCCATTTAAGGAATTGGTTGTTGCCCCGTTGTGGCAACAACTGGACCTGAAGATGAGGAAGCAGCAGCCTGTGCTGATGCTGCTGACGTACCACTTGGTGGGGTACGAAATTGAGTGGCAAATGGGTCCGTCATCGCCGGTGTTACTACTTACGATGGACTGTGTTAGAGATGGTGGACTTAGAACAAGAGGAAGAAGAACTCTCTCTCTCTCTCTCTCTCTCTCTCTCTCTCTCTCTCTCTCTCTCTCTCTCTCTCTCTC